CAGGCACAGGGTCCCACCTGGGGGCCAGAAATGATCCCCACAAGCAGCAGAACCCAAGCCCTTCACCCCAGTTTGGGGTGTTAAGAAGCAGGCATTCTTTAGGGCAGCGTGCTGGACGCCTGCAGGAGAGTTCTTCTAATCCAGCCTGCTCAGGGACACAGGCAGGGCTTGGGATTACACACACTGATTCCAGAGGCATTGGATATTCTCCCTTACTTAACACATGTCCATTACTTTGCTTTACACAGTCACACCCCTATTGCAAGTACCTATTTGGTCATTTGGGGTCTTCTTTGGGGGTCTCTGGTGGGTTTTTTGGCATCTGGTCCCCCCCCAAAGTCAGGTGTCCCCTTCTTGACCTCGGTTCTCAGCATCACTGCTTTTCCCCACAGAGACCAGCATGTTTGGTTTGATCTTCTCTGGGTCCCCAGAGCTCAGCTCACATCCTGTTTGCTTGAGTTCCAGCCCTGATCCAATTCTCCAGGACTTCTCTAAGATTCTATTGTTCCTTATTTGGCCAGAGCAGAATCTTGGGAGCAATGTTCTACTTCTCCCAAACCAAGGCTCCCCCTGCCCCATCTGCTGCCAAACAAGGCCAGACATCGACTGCCATGGCCTCGACCACTCTCCAGATACAGAAAGATAAAGATCACATTTTGCTCACAATCAGACATATTTTGTTAATGAACAGGTACAAACAGGATTCACTAATGAGCCCAGACTAACAGATCTGACTAATAAGCACACCTGTTTGCTCAGGAGCAGATACACAGGTGGAGTCCCATCACACCACATTTTTACCAACAAACAGACCCAGTTTTAGCTGATGAGCAGATACATGGAGACACAGCCCATTAGGTTGGAAGGTTCATCTAGAGCTCAGCTTTGGCTCAGGGGCTGTTGTTCAGCCTCAGCACTTCAGGGACAGCCAGACAGGGCTTTACATTACACACACAGTTTACAGGTTCATTACAGAGTCTTGCTTACTTAATACATACACTTTTAGACAACACTTGGATCACATTTGGCACTAAAAAGAGATGTAAATTTCCCTCCCATGTCAACAGTGTTTGAACTGTGTTCAGAAGAGCAAAACAAGAGTGAAGCATTTTGTTTCTGCAGTCAAGTGGGAACCTCTGTCTGATGACATTCCCAAAGGCATCCCAAATACAGGGAGGATTGCATTGAACAGCATTGCAGTCTCTTTCCAAACCTTCTTAGTGCAACAAGGAAAAGCCTCTGGCCACCCAGAGAAGGTATCCCCCAAGACTAGGAGATCTTTACACCCCCCTTTTCTGGGCAATTCAGTCAAATCCATCTGCCAACATTCACCTGGAACATTTCTACACTTTACATCCCCTATTCCCACTGCATTGGCAGGGGTTGGATCATTTCTCTTCCACACACCACACTGCTGACTCACTGCTTCTACAATTGGGGGCAGTTTGGGACTTATAACCCACTTGTGCAAATGTTTCAATGATTTGCTTCACTCCAAGGAATACCCTCATGTTCCCCATCCACCAGGTCACACCAGACTGGTTCAGGGACTATTATTTGCCCACCTGGGGTAACTGCCCAGCCTCCTGGAGCAAATTTTGCTCCTAAGGTTTCAATGAGCTGACAATCCTTAGCACTAGACTCATTTGTTTCTACTGGGAGAGGTATCTCTGTCAGGGTTATTAAAGACAAAACTTTACTCTCTAAAGTGCCTTTTTCTGCAGCCTCTTTGGCAGCCTTTTGGGCCAAATGATTCCCCAGTTCTGCTTTGGTCTCCCCCTCTTGGTGCACTCTGCAATGCAGGACAGCAGCCTCTGTTGGTTTCTGGAGATCTTCAAGCAAGTCCAAGGATTAACTTGTTCTCCTTGACTCAATCCCAAAGCTGGAGTGAGCACAATTGGTTCTGCTTTCTGGGCTGAGGCACTGCAGAGGAGTGCCCCCAATTCCATGACCTGCTGGGGGGAGTTCCTGTGCATCCAGAGAATTGTTTTCCACGCTGGACAAAGCTGCCCCCACTGGGAAACAATTCCCAACCAGGACTTTCCCAGGGGCTGTCTCCTGAGTCAGCTCTGCCCGAATACACTTCTCCTCTAGTCTGGAAGCAATCCCGCTCTGGGCTTCCTTTGCTGGGGCTGGGGCAGTTGACAGGTTGCTTCTTTCCTTCCTGGCCCAGCCTCCATTGTCCTTGGAGAATTCCAAAGCCCAGGGAGGCTCCTGGGGTCTGGACTACTTGCACTTTGTGTTTGGGACACCCCATATCCACCCAGTCCAAGGAAATTCCATAGTGTCTGATCCCAACATTGCTGCTCAGCATCAGTGGCTATCAAAATATCCACACACTGGAACAAGGCTCCAAGAGGGTTTTGACTTTTCCATTCCTCCAGTTCCTTTGCCAATTGAGTTCCAAATACTGGGGGGATATTTTTAAACCCCTGTGATGCCTTAAGACCCTTTTAGGGGTTTTTTTGACTTTGTTAATTTTTATAAGCTTTATATGTAATTATAGTAGAAGTAGATTTTAGAAGTAGCTATATTGTATTCCTCACCCTTTAGCACCCTTTAGTTTACACATTCCTCAACCCTCCTACCCCATTCCATGCTCCCCATATCAATCCTACCCCTGAATTCAGTAGAAATGTTTAGTCTCTTGTCAAGGCAAGGCCTATGCTGTTTAGAGAACACTCCTATCTTGGCCTGAACAACAGAACAGAGTCAAGAACTGGGTGACCGTGTACCCTTTGTGCTCTGAGGATGGTGATGGGGATGAAGAGAGGGTCCCGAAATGCACCCCAGACTCAATTCCCAGGGAGTGGGCCCGGGGCAGACCAGAGCAAAGGCTACGGGGTGGAAACACTTGGGATGGACAGGTAGTATTATAAAATGTCACATCTCAGGCACAGCGGGCATGCATCCTGTAACATCTGTGCCTTGGCACAAATCAAACCCTTTCCTTATCTCACACTCAATTAACTGCTCCTGAGGTTTTTCCTTAGCATCAGCTGAGCTGGCATCACCTGCAGGAGGACCACCAAAGTCAGCTGGGTTTTCCTCCCTGTCTTTGGATTTTCCCAGTTGAAAGCAAAAAGCTCTTGACTTTCACAACTCAAAGGGAGACAGAAAAAGGCAGCTTTCAAATCTAATCCTGTGAAATACATACTAAACTTTCATTTAGGGGAGTTAGCAAAGTGTAAGGATTTGCTACAACTGCTTGTATATCTTCTACTCTATTATTTATAGCTCTGAGGTCTTGGACTAACTGGGATAGCCTTCCATTTGCCTGCTTGACTGGCAAAATTGGAGCATTACATTTAGATTCACATTCTTTTAACAAGCAAAATTTCATCAATTGTTCTACAAAGGGTGAGAATCCCTCACAACTTTCCATTTTCAAAGGCTATTGCTTTGGCCTGACCAACCCCACTCCAGGTTTCACTGGAATTCTCACGGGTTCTGCTCTTTTGGATCATGGAGGCACCTCTCCAGCCCATCCTACTGGAATCACTGCATCCCCAAGTGACGTTGGCAGATGGATTAGTTCTGCTTTTGGAGACTCTCATGCAAAACTAGAATCTTCCACAGAATTAGGCTCTGGAATAATAACCTATATTTTACCATTTTTAAATTGGATTGTGGCATTTAATTTTTCCAAGAGATCTCTCCCAGGCAGAGGCTTTGGTGAACTGGGGAAATACAAAAACTGGGGAGCCAACCACTGTTTTCCCAATTTCAAATCCACAGCATTAAAAATGGCCCAGTTTCCCAATTCCCTGGCACACCAGACAATTGTTCCAGAATTGTGACTTGAGTTTCATTTTCCCTTATTTAAGACAGGGGAACAAGTTCCCACAGCCACAACCAATTGTACTTAGCTTGGCTGGAACCAGATGTTCTGATGGGGAAGAATCCTCTGGTGCCCCCTCAGTCGTCTGCAGTGATGCCAGGAGAGGGTTGGGAGGGTTCTGAAGTTTCAGTTGTGGACAATCCCATTTCCAGTGTCCATCTTTCTTACAGGATGCACAGGGATTGATCCCAAGTCTCCTGGGGGGGATGTTTGAAGCAGGCTGCCCATGCTCTCATCCTCTTCCTCTCCCCGGGGGCACCATTTCCTCAGGGATTTCTTCCAGAACTGCAACTCCTTCCTGCTGAGTTGATTCCTGCTGATTCTCCCAACCTCCAACAATGTCCCCAAATTAGACTGATCTTGTCCCTCAGCTTTTTGTCATTCCCTCCTAACCACATCTGAGGACTGCCCCACAAATATGGGGGCCAGTTGAGTCCTTCCCCCCTGTGTTCCAGGATGGATATTAGTATATTTTTGTGCTGTTTCTTCCAGAGGATTTAAAAATTCAGTAGGCTATTCCCTGTGATCCTGCTTCATTGCAAAGAAGTTTGACATGTTCATTGCCTTTGGCCTGGCATGTTTCATTGCAGACAACATCCACTGCAGGTATCTATTGAACCTTTCTCTAAAAATAGGGATGTTAGGATCCCATTCAGGATCTGCAGTGGGAAAGGGAATGTCCAATGTACCCTGGATATTCCCCACCAAAATCTGCTCTTCCAAAAACCTCTGACTGGTTTTAACAACCATTGCTTTCTCCCTACTACCAAACAACACTTCTAACATAGGATCCTTCTAGCCCGGATCCTGGGTTTGAATCATCATTTTGAAGGCTTTTGCCATTTAGTCTGGGTTCTATCACACAGGGGGGCCACTCCCAGCCCTCCTTGTTCAGCTCTAGTTCTTCCTGCAGCTGCACTGAAGCTCTCTGCTCTCTCTCTGACACATTCTCTCTCCCTTTTCTTCTGGACATGCTAAAGCTGCCTCTTCACATGCCAGTTCCCCTGCAAGATTGGTTTCTGCATCTTGATTATCTGTTCCCCCACTCAACCTGCCCGTGGGGCCAACCAGAAGATCTGAGTCCTCCTCCTTATCGGGGAGATGATGAGAACAAAGTTCTCCTGTGCTCCACATTGAACAACAAGGCTTTAACCATTTCCATGGATTTTCCTTTCCGGGCTCACACCAAGGGCTCTGAGGGCGCTGCATTCACACCACAATCCTTCTGCCATTTCACAGGTTCTGCAAAGTGAAAAACACATCAATGCACAGAACCTCCTTCCACTTCTGTTCCTGTTCTGAAACAGCACCAACTGTAACAATGGAATAGAATTCAATGTTCCAGAACAGCCACCCATTGATTACAACACTTCATTAAATTCTCCCTGGGAGCTGTTCCTCCGGGGGGGCCACCAAACTTCATCCAAAATTGCAAAATGCAACCAAGTGGGGACTTCTTCACAATTCCCCCTTCAGACTGCCCACTCCCCATCTCTAAACAGTAGACCCAAAATGTTACAATACAGAAACAAATAAGAACACAACAATATTGAGCGATAAAACAAAGCCGATACCAAATTCCAAAATACCAAATAACCCACCCAAAGGGCTGGAAGATCCACAGGTCTCAGATGAGCAGGATTCCCAAAATACCAAAGAGCCCACCCAGTGTGCTGAAAGATCCACACGTTTGACATGGGCAGGATTCCCAAAGAGAATGCCTTGTTATCCAGTGGGATCTTACCTGTGTCCCAGACTGGGCTGGGGATCTGTGCTCTTCTGCAGCAAAGTCCTGGTGCTGGCATGAAGATCCAGTGATCCCTCAGATCTGTGGGAGATCAGGCAGAGGTGTCCTGTCTGGGGGTCCAAAAATTACACCCAAAAGCAGCAGAAACAAACTTCTTAACCCAATTTGGAGATGTTAAAAAGGGCATTCTTCTTTGTTCAGCATGCTGGAGGTTCAGAGGAGAGTTCCTCTAATCCAACGTGCCAAATGACAGACAGGCCTTTTTATTACACACACTGTTTACATGTGCATTTGATAGCCTTGCTTACTTAATACATATTCATTACTCTGCTTTACATAGTCACACCCCTATTGGAAGTCCTTTTCTGGTCCTTCCAGGCCTTCTCTGTCATCTGTGCTGCTCAGTTCTTGAGCAGCACAGCACCACTGTGCTTCTTTTATCTGGGTACACAGGGCTTAGTTTACATCCTGCTGGTTTGGGACATCCCTTATCTAATTCTCTAGGACTTCTCCAGGATTACATTGTTCCTCATTTGGGCACTCCGGGGTACTGGGAGTAGAGTTTCTATTTCTTCTATCAATGGTTTGATGGAGACCATGAGGAGCTGGGAACTCGTTGCAGGGAAAAGAGGGAGCAGTTGGGAAGTAACAGGCAGGTGGGGGAGAGAACTGTTCAGAGAACAGCTGAGATACAGCTCGAGCAAGGTGAAAACTAAACTGTCATTTGGGGTCATCCCAGATCGATTGGATTTCAGAAATTACTCAACACAGGTGCCACCTCCTCCAGCCAAGCCCAGGAGATCAACCTCCTCAGCAGCTGCAAGAGATGTTCATGTGCCTGCTGCCATCTCCCCAAAGCCATTATCCCACTCCTGCTGAGAAGATGGGCAAGATGAGCATCTACCTCACAAGATCTGCTGCCAGAAGAAGAGCGTGTCCCAAAGGATGTCCTCAGCCTTCTCAGAGGGGACGTCAGATCCTCTCCAGGGATGGTCCCAGCCCTTCCCAATCCAGACTGGGCACCAGCTCCAACTCTTTCCTCGAAAACAAACAACAAATTCATGACAAGAGATTACAAACAAAAAGTGGAAACAAGAAAAAAAGGTAAAATGTTAACATTCTGTCAGGGTTCTGAGGAAGGCCCAACCCCTCCACACCAAAGAAAAACCCCACCTCCTCCAGCTCAGGAAAACCCAGGCCTTCTCCCTGCCCTGCTGCATTGCCCCAAAGAAAGGCTCCTAAGCCAAGGCAGCCCAAGCCTTTCCTGGCCTGCAGCCCAAAGCAGCTGGTGTCCTGCAGCCCCACCTTTGCTCCCCCCACGGGGGTTTGTTTTTGGCAGGCTGGCTGCCCCTGCCCCAGCCCCGCCCAGCAAAGGGGCAGTGGCAGAGGCTGGGGGCAGAGCCGGGCTCCCATTTCACACCCAGCCCAGAGCACCCGCCCACCCTCCTGCCAAGAAGCAGCTTGGCAGCCGGCTGAAGAATTCCTCGGGTTCCCCGCCAGCAAAGGGGGAACCTTCGGTGCCCAGCCAGGCTGAGCAATGCCCGGGAGCACCCCCTGGGTGTGGACTCATCTGCAAACGGCGTGTGGAGCACGGCTTGGAGGAAGGGGCCAGAATCAGAGTCCATCATCTTCAGCTCGCCGGTGTCCAGGTCAACAACAAAGAGCTTGTCATCCCTGACGTCGTCCTCGATGTCTCCAGCAGCAGCCCCACCCGGCACAGCTTCTCCAGAGGCCCCTTCTCCTTCCCTGGGGGCCAGACCAGGCTGTCAGTGTTCTGCCGAGGGCCCAGCTGTCTGTGAAGCAGGATGAGCAAAACCAGGTTGGATGGTGGCCACCAGCACTTGGAAGACCAGGTCTGCAGCCCAGCTCCAGCACAAAGAGGTGCATGTTCCCATGTGCTGACCCCCCCTCAGTGCTACAGGCATGACAAAAAAGTCTGGTTTTCTTTACTTCTTATTGCCAAGAGATGTGTGGAGGTGTTACTTGCCAGGCCCCTGGATCAAAGTGAGCACGTGGATCTCTCCTGTCTTCTAGAGCAGGTGAATGCCCTGCACCCAAGGATGGCACAACAGGTCTTCCAATGATGGCCTGTCCGAGGGGCGGATGGACAAACACCACCTGATAAGGTGCTGGCACCCTGGGGGGAAAATCGCCGGTCAGTTGGAGAAGGATCCTGTCCCCTTTGTCCCACTGTCCACGCGCCCAGGCTGTGCTGGCTGTGCTCAGAGCTGTGCCCAAACTTCTCCATTGATTCTCCCTTTTGGAGGAGAGCAGGATGGCAGGACACAGGCCACCTCCCCCAGCCAACCATGGGACACAAACAGCTTCAAGAGCGGCGTCCTCGTGAGCCCGCTGCCCTCTCCCAACACCGTTATTCCCCCCGTGCCACAAAGATTGGTATCCACCTCGAGAGACCCGTGGTGGGAACGGGAGCTGGTCCCAGATGGTGTTGGTGCCTCTGCAGAACGGGTGCTTCCCGCAGACCATCTGGTAGAGCAGGATGCCCAGGGACCAGATCGTGGCCGCCTCGCCGCGGTAGCGTTTGAAGCAGATCCACTCTGGCGGGCTGTATGACGGTGTTCCTGCGGAATACAGACGGAGTTCATCAGGTGGATGCTGCCTGCTCCCAGAGCCTCACCCCAGCATCCCTGGCAACGTGGGGCCTGCCCCAGTGGCACACGCTGTGCCCCACTGCCTTCTCACCGGCCCCTGACTCTTGGTTACAAACTTGGGGTTGGAGAAGAAGCCACTGGTGTCCAAGAGGGCAGCAGAAGCCCTGGCAAGGCCCAACTATTACATGCAAGGGAAAAACCCACCCAGTGGTGGGGAAAAGCCATGCCTTCTCCCTGCCCCACTGCACTGCCCCCAACAATTCATCATAAGCCAAGGCAAACAAGGGGAGCGGAGCAGCCCAAGCCCCTCCTCGCCTGCACACCAAGCCAGCTGGTGCACAGTTCTGACCCCCTTCTCTGCTACCCTCACGGGGGTTTTGGTCAGGCTGGCTCCCCCCTGCCCCACACCCAGCCCAGGACAGGGTGGGTGGCACAGGCTGTCAGCAAGGCCGGGGCCCGTCTCACAATAACCCCCCAGCCCCATCCAAAAGCAACTTGGCTGAAGAACTAATCCTATTCCCCCTCAGCCAAAGGGGCAATCTCTGGTGCCACACCCGGGCATGGCCATGCGATGCCCGGCACCAGGAGCATCCCCCGGCTGTGGGCTCACCTGCAAACTGGGTGTAGACGGTGTCCTGAAGGAAGGTGGCACATCCAAAGTCAAGGAGCTTCGCTTCACCGGTGGCCAGGTCGAGGAGGATGTTCTGGGGCTTGATGTCCCGGTGCAGGACGCCGCAGCTGGTGCAGTGCCGCACGGCCTTCAGCACCTGGCGGAACAGCCCCCACGCCATCTCCTCCGGCAGGAACCTCCACGCCGTGATTACGCGAGAGAGGTCCCGAGAGCGCTCCGGACGCTCCATCACCAACAAGAAACTGTTGGGGAGCTCGAACCACTCCAGGAGCTGGATGACACCACGAAACCCACTGGACACCTTGTCCAGCAGCACGATCTCCAGGGGTGCCAGGGTGCCGTCGGGCTGCGGGGGGACCACGGGGTCGTCAGTGGGGCTGATGCCGTGCCTGTCTGCCTGCTACCCCTCTGCCAGCCCTGGATGCTCCCCGTCCCCCACCCACCCCACGGCCACTCTCCCTCCAGGTGTCCCGGCGGCTTCCACCCTCCCGGGCTCGGCTCGTCCCCGCCCGTCCCGCCCCGCTTTCTCCCGCTGGCCCCGCTCGCTCACCAGCTCGCCCCAGCGCCGGATGAGATCCCGGGGCACGGCTTTGATGGCCACCTGCAAGCCAAGGGGAACGGCGGGTTGAGCTCGCCGCCCGTCCCGCTCTCCTCCTCCTTCTCCTCCTCCTCCTCCTCCTCCTGCACTCACCGGGGCTCCGTCCGCCAGGCGGGTCCCCGCGTAGACGCGGCCGAAGCCGCCGCTGCCCAGCAGCGAACCCAGCCGGTAGCGCTTCTGCAGGGGCCCCTTCGCCTTCCGTGCGGGCGAGACGTGGCCGTCAGCGTTCGGGCCGGGGCCCGGCACGGCCCCCGAGCGCCCCTCGAGCGGCCCGGGCCGGGCTTCCCCACCCGCAGCGGGCAGCGGCGGCTCGCTGCCGGCGGCCGGGCTGGCGAGCGGCGGAGCTCTGGTCGGGGAAGCCGCCGAGGAGGCGGCAGCGGCCGCGGCCCCCGCCGGCCCCGGCAGGCGCCGGGCTCGAGCCGGGCGGAGCCAAGCGGCGGCGACGCCGAGCCCGCCCCACAGCCCATCCCACAGCCCATCCCACAGCCCATCCCACAGCCCATCCCACAGCCCATCCCACAGCCCATCCCACAGCCCGCCCCACAGCCCGCCCCACAGCCCGCCGCACAACCAGCCCCACAGCCCGCCCCACAGCCCATCCCACAGCCCGCCCCACAGCCCGCCCCACAGCCCGCCCCACAGCCCATCCCACAGCCCATCCCACAGCCCGCCCCACAGGAGCGCCCAGCAGCGCCACAGCCGGCGCGCCGGGAGCCGGGCGAGGGCGGGACCGCGCCGGGCCGCCCAGGGCCGGGGACGGGGCGGCCCCGCCCGGCAGAGGGGAACGGCCGGGGCCATGGCCCGGGCCGGCAAGGGGAGGGGGGACCGGGAACGGGACAGGGACACCGGCACAGGGACACCGGGACAGGGACACCGGGACAGGGACACCGGGACAGGGACACCGGGAGACGGAGAGGAGGAAGAGCAAGAGCAGGAGAAAGACCGAGAGCGCGTCGCTAGAGCCGCTGCTGCTGCCGCCGCTGCTGCTGCCGAAGCGCCGGGGCCGTTGGTCCGTTCGTCGGTTCGTCCGTTTGTCCATTTTTCCGTTCCCTGTTTGGCCCCCGCGCGCCCCGGGGGCAGCCCCGGCTTCAGTCACGGAGCTCCCCTTCCTCCCGCACCCATGCCGAGACCACGGGCTTTTTTAGCTGCTTCACTTTATTTTGACTTCTTTGCTGGCAATCTTGCAACTTCCCGCCGCTGCTCGGACCCCATCCCGCCCGCTCGGCCCGCGCTGCTGTCGCTTCCTCCCGGGCCAGCCGGGGTCTGGACTTGTCCCTGAAGTTTGGGAAGGGGTTTGCTCAGTGAGGAGCCCCGGGACGTCCGGCCAGCGCCAGGCAGAGCCAGCCCCGGGGGAGGGCAGAGCAGGACGATCGGCAGGGGAAATGCAGCCCTTTGGGGTCAGCGCTGCTCCCCGACCACACCAGGGCTGTTCCTGTTTTCCTGCCCGCTTCGAGGGGAAATTGGCGACTGCAGAGAGGATTAAAAAGAAGAGAATTAGAAGACTCTTCTTGCTGCCATTTGGATGCCAGTCCATGCTAATAAATGCAGGCTTAATTTGGAATGGACACGATGTAGCAGCTTTTTCAGCACCCAATATTTAACAGCTCCCTTTTAGGGGACAGTGGAAAAAGGGGGGGAGAACGGGAGAAAAGGGGGGGCTGGGACCTCCAAACTGAGCAGGGAAGGGGCTGAGACTCTGAAACCGAGCAGGGCAGAGGGGAAGAAACAGCCCCAAACCGAGCCGGGGAGGGAGCTGAGGACTGTGGGGATGATGAGAAAGGGGTGGGAGAGGGGAGAAAAGGGGTGTCGGACAGTGGGCAGGGGGACAGAGGGAGGGGGGTTCCCATATGGGTCCCCCCTGTGCCCCATCAGTTGGGCCCTGGAGCGGTTCCCTGGGGCTCTGGGAGGGGGCAGATCCGCACTGGGAATGTCCACTGCTTCTGTAACCCTTTCTGTGCTTGCTCTGGTCACGATTCTCCACAGGTCCCCAACGCTGGGGGCTGATGGGGGGACTCCCCCCAGCCAGCAGCTGGTGCTGCAGCAGCTGTGGGGCAGAGGGGGGTGGGAAAGGGGGGTCCGGGGTGGCCCCCTGAGCTCCCAACCTGCTGTGGGGACAGAGGGCTGCTGGGGGAGCACCCCCTGACCCGTGTCCCTGCACACACAGGGCTGTTCCAGTTCCTGGGAAATTAGCTCATACATATTCGTTGCACATTTTTACATCTTCCCGAGCTACCCCAGAGTGGGCGGTGTTCCATGGAAATCTCGGGACGCGCCTTCTGCCGCCTGCGCACTTCTCTCTGGTGCTGCTCTCGGGTGGTCGCAGGGGATGAAGGCTCAAAGTCTTCCTCTCCCGCTCGCCCGGTGCCTGGGCGCGGCATCGGGCGAGCGGGGGGCGAGACCGCCCGCGGATTGACTGTGGGGGTCTCTCTGGAGGCGGGGAGCGCACAGAGCGCCATGTCGGCTGTGGGGAAGTGATGGAGGAGGCGGCGGCGGGTGCACTGCACTGTGAGTGGAAAGGCTGGAGGGCTCGGGAGGGTTTAGCGGAGGGGTTCGGGGGTTCCCGAGGGGCAGAGCGCGGGGCCCTGGAGCCCTCTTGGGGGCTGCGGGGCTCGGGGGCTTTTCCAACGCCCTGGCTGCACTGCGCAGGCGCGCCGGCGGAGAGCTCATAAAAGAACTACAACTCCCATGAAGCCCCGCGTCACGTGCTGGACCCGCCATTTCTGTTCGGGCCACAGCGCCCCTGCCGGCCCGGCGGACCGACCTCAGGGAAAGGGGATCCTGATGCCCGCCCTGAACCCCAGAGACCGCAAAACTCAGCACACAGAGATCCTACAGGGAGGGTTCAGCAGTGGGGTTCAGGGGGTCACCCAGCCCCCAGGGGAGGGGGCCTGGTGGTGCCCCCCAAAGTCCAGGGACGAGATGTACCACATCCGGGTAAGGGGATCCCAATGTCCCCAGTACAGCCCAGTGACCTCCCAGTGACTCTCAATACGGCCCAGTAACCCCCTCAGTGACCACCCAGTGCATCCCAGTGACCTCCCACTGCCTCCCAGTGTGGCCCAATGATCCTCCAGTGAGCACCCAGTAACCCCCGGTGTGGCCCAGTAACCTCCCAGTGTCCCCTCGTGTGTCCTGGTAATCCCCCAAGAACTCCTCAGTCATCTGCCAGTGCCCCCCAGTGTGCCCTAGTTCTCCCCCAGTCCCTCCCAGTGCCCTCCCAGCGCCTCTCAGTAACCCCCCAGTCCCTCCCAGTGCCCCCTGGTTCCCCCCAGTGTGTCCCAGTATCCCCCAGTAATCACCCAGTGCCCCACAAAGCCCCCCAACTGTCCCCAGTGTGTCCCCAGATGCCCTTGGCCTTTCTGTGAGCGTGGGGGGAAGGAGGGGTGTTTTTGGGGTGAGAGGGTCCAGGGGGCTCCTGGGGTGAGATGGAGGGTTGGAGACATCAGGGATGGGGTTTGGGGACAGTGGGAAGGGGTTTGGGGACAGTGGAATTGGAGGTTTCGGGGGGGGATTGAGGCCATGGGGAGGCCCTGGGGACATTGGAGACACCAGGGGGGTCTCGGGGTGTCAAGGGGGGGGTGGGGACACCAAGATGGTCTTGGGGACACCAGGGGGGTCTCAGGACTCACCTGCTCGTGGTGCTGCCCCTCCTCTCTCCCCCCAGCCCCATTAACCCCCCCTTCCCCAGGCGGTTCCTTTGCCCATGGGCAGCAAAGCCCCCACTGCTTCTGCAACTGGAGAGTGTTGGAGCCGTGGACCATTAACATTCCAGTCTCTCCCAGCTCTGCATCCCAAAAGTCGAGAGGGATCAGTCTGTCACCTCAAAGTGAATCAATCCCATTGAAAATGGCTCGATCCCATTCCAAAACATCTGTTTCTTATTTTCCCTATGTAATTCTGGGGCAGCCGGTGCCACTCCTCAGCTCTCAGCAGGCTGAGGCTTGGCCTTGCACTTTTGCCTTTGCTGGATTTCTTCATCAAATATTTCTCTCTCCCTGAAAAGAAACATATGGAAGGTTTTCAATAATCTGGACATCTTTAGACCATCTGGACAAATGACAGTTTGCAGTGTTGGAACAGCTCAGCCACAACGTTTTCCATGTTTAATCATTTATTCCCATCCCTCCCAGGAGGGAGGACACTGAACTCTTCCACAGAAACAGAAACAGAAAACTAGTAACAAAAATTCAGAGACTACTGAAAACGAAAAATACCTTTTGCTCACAGGTGGCCCTTTCACGTCCTTCTCTTCTGCCTTCCTGCAATCCACGTTATCCACGGCAGCAGTTGCCTAGATCATGGCCCAAAAAAGCTTTTTAATTCATTTATAATCATTCCAGAAAACTGAATCACAGCTGGGGGGTGGGAGACCAAACAGGTGTTCAGGCGGGAGAGCCAGAGGCAGCTCCCCAGAGAGAGGCCTCAGAGATAGGGATGGAATCCATCAGACGGCCTTGGGCACTCTGTGAGAGGGAGAGAAGGAGCTGCAACTTCAGGGGAAGGACACCTGCGGTGAGCACCTGCTACCAAAGTTAAAAATGAGAAGGAAGAGACTGCTTTAGTTCACCCCACTTATGAAATATGAATTAATTTATAATTAAGAATACAGTGTGTTGTTAGAAACATTTGACTAGTGTGGATAAGTTCAAAAAAGTGTGTGACAGTGTGTTAAATAGGTCCATGCGTGCCTCCTTCCCTGTAGCCTAGAAATTCCTGTGCTAGGTGGGATAAAAAAGCTTTACTGTAAACATTGCATGCCTTTTCTGCCATTTTGGGGTGGACAAGGAGGACGGAAGAATAAAACTTCTATTTTTAGTGACACAGTCAGATTGTCTTTATTAACAGCCAAGAATAGTAAAAGAGTTTAAAACTGTGTCAGGACAGATTTTAGGCATCAGCAGTTCTCCACAATTCCTTTAGTTCCATGAGGCTCTGCAGTGTCACAACTGGCCCTTGACTCCATGAGGTTCCAAAAAGTCCCAGGGTTCCTTTGGCTCCATGAGGCCCTGGAGTGTCAAAATTGTCTCTTGATTGCTTGAGGTTCCACAGTGTCCCAGAATTCATTTTTTCCATGAGGCCATGGACTTTTACTCTGGAGCCCTGATTCCCTGCAGCCATGCTGTGTCACAATGGCCCCTTGGTTCCATGAGATCCTACAGTGTCCCAGGGTTCCTTCTGGAGCATGAGACCCTGCAGTGCCACAGGTGCCCCTTGATTCCATGATATTCCACAGGGTTCCTCTGATTCCATGAGGCCCCACATGTCACAAAGGCCCCTTGATTCCAGGAGGTTCCACAGTGTCCCAAGGGTCCCTTGAGCTCCGTGGGGCTCTTTGACATCCCGTGACCTCCCGGCTCTTTAGGAGCCCTGAGAACTTCAACAGGGGGAAGTGCCGGATTCTGCCCTGGGATGGGGCAACCCCGCCTGGACGGACAGACTGGGAAGGAGAGGCTGGAAAGCAGGGCCGGGAAAGGGCCCTGGGGGTGCTGGTGGGTGGCCAGTTGGCCCTGAGTCAGCAGTGCCCTGGCAGCCAGGAGGGCCAAGCCTGTCCTGGGGGCATCAGGCCCAGCATGGCCGGCCGGGCCAGGGAGGGGATTGTCCCGCTCTGCTCTGCCCTGGGGCGGCCTCACCTGCACCATTGGGGCAGTTTGGGGGGACACAATGGAAGGGAGAGATTGAGCCATTGGAGAGTGTCCAAAGGAGGGCAAGGAGGATGGGGAAGGGCCTTGGGGGGAAGGTGTGTGAGGACACTGAGGGCACTTGGTGTGTTCAGCTGGAGAAGAGGAGACTGAGGGGAGACCTCAGTGCAGGTCCAACTTCCTGGGCAGGGGCAGAGGAGGGGCAGGCCCTGAGCTCTGCTCTGGGGGGACCAGGGACAGGACTGAGGGAATGGCCTGGAGTTGTGTCAGGGCAGGGTCAGGCTGGATCTTAGAAAAAGATTCTTCCTCCAGAGGGTGGTTGGGCACTGACCAGGCTCCCCAGGGCAGTGGGCACAGCACCAAGGCTGACAGAGCTCAAGAAGTGTTTGGATGATCCTCTCAGGCTCATAGTGTGACCCTTGGGGATGGTCCTGTGCAGGGCTAAGGGTTGGACTGGATGATCCTTGTGGGTCCCTTCCAATTCATCCTATTCTGTCATTCTCTGATTATCAACCCTGTGTTCAGCACAAACCAAAACAGAGCCCAGCACTGGCCACGGGGAAGAAATTTAACTGTACTCCCCCTGAAACCAGCACAGCCTTTAGGGGCTCTCCCAGAAACATCCCACAGTCCATTTGTCACCTGGAACCAGTGACTCTTGAGTTCCTGCTTCCCCAGCCCCAGGGATGGTCTCCTTGTCTGCTCATTCCTCCACACTCCATCAGACTTTATCCCTATCACCCACCCCACCATTCCCTCATCAAAGCCCTGGCACTCAAAGCAGCCTTGGGCAAATTGGAGCTTCCTCCACTCAAGGCTGGACCTGCAGGTTTCAGCTCCTTGGCACCAACTCCCACCTGCTTGGCTTGGAGAAAGAGCTGCCCGAGACACAAAGGGATGTTCATTTATTGCCAGCAAACAAAACCAGAGGAAGGCACAGCTCAATAAAAACTGAAAGTTCTTCTCCTGCTGTATATTAAGTCCACATTGCCTCCACTAAAGTCCACTTTGCACAGTAGATAGTCTCAGTTCTTCCAGCTCCAGGCACAGGGCCTGTCCCTAAACTGGGACAGCCAGAAAGCTGTTCTCATTTCCTGATCAGTCCTACTCTGCTCAGGAAAGGAATCTCACGCAAAAGGTTGTTGCAGGTTCATTTCTGTCACTCAAATCCAAGAGGAGACTCCCCAGTTAGACAAAGTCTCTGGGACACACAAGATGGGGGCGACTGAAGAAGGAGGGAATGGAAACAGGACATTTTTTTTAAATAAAACATCAAAAGCATAGAAAATAAAAAACTGTACATAAGGAAAGACCTCATTGTTCATGGGAGTTCTGGCACACAGTGGGAGCATCATTGGGCAAACAATATTCTACAATTCAACATCACAGACTGTTCTGACCCAAAAAGCAAACCCCCTGGAGGTACACAGAGTGTTTCCCCATCCCTCTGCATCATCCACCAAGTGCACCCAAGTGCTTGAGCAGAAACAATCCCATGGGTGGCTTTGCCTTTGCTTAAGGCAGGACTAATCCTAACTGTCCTCCCCAACATATTCCTCATATGGACGACAGGGAGTTTATCCTCTTCAATGATATATAGAGGTTCTTTTTGGGCAAGGCCAGTTCAAATGGTAGAGTTACCTAACTAGGTTTGTGTGATACCTTAAAGTTTTCTGGATATTTTCTTATATTATTTTAAAAGTAGTTGCGTAGTAAATGTAGATGTTAATGTAGCTGTATGATATGCCACCATTTAGCACAGTAGTTTACAGAGACCCAACGCTATGACCCCATGTGATATCAAACTTTCTAAATTCCTTTAGCATGTTTTGACTTCTTTTCAAGGTAGAATTGTAGAAAAACTCCTCTATTGAACAACATCACACCCTAGGCCTGGACAACAAGATCCCACAAGAGACAAAGCAACCTTCCAGCCCAGAACTTTGGAGGCGCTCCAAGGACTGTACATGCTGTGAAGAAGAGAAAGATGAGGAAGAAGGGGTCCCAAAGACCCCAAACCCAATTCCCCAAGGGGTGTGTCAGGGGGCAGAACTGGGCAGAACCGGGGGTGGAGAGTTCTGGCATTGGATGGACCATCTTCTAAAACTGTAGAACCATTGCCTGGGAGGGCGCGTCGTGTGTGTTCCCCTGGGCCTGTGGGCCTGATTAAAGGACCTGCTCTTTTGAGCTGATCTTAGACACTGAATTGGCCTGGAGTTTTCTCTCTTGAACTTACAGGATTAACTAACTAGGTGGCTTTTGCTAAATGCAGATCCCAAGGTTTGAAGGTCCCACTGCCCATTGCTTTCCAGGTGGTTTTGAACAGTCCACTCTACCCTTCAACTTTCCCAGAGGCTGGTGCAGGACAGGGAATATGATCCATCCACTCCATGCTGAGCTCTCTGGGCCAGGTGTGCACAAGGTTGTTTTGGAAAAGAGTCCTGCTGTCCAACTCCAGTGTTTCTGGAGGGCCGTGTCTCCCCAGGACTTGCTTTTCCAGGCCCAGGAGGGTGTTCTGGGCAGTGGTGGGAGGCACAGGGGGTGTCTCCTGCCCTCCAGGGGTTGTGTCCACCACTGTCAGCACGTAGAGCTTGCCTTGGTGGGTTTGGGGAGTGTGCTGGGATCAATCTGCCAGGCCTGCCCACATCTCTATCTCAGCCATCATCCCCCACCCCACAGGGGCTTTACCCTCTTGGCCTCTTTGATGGCAGCACATGTTTCCCAGTTCTGGAGAACCTGGCAGTTGGTGTCCAGGGTTAAATGCAGCCCTGGATCACAAGCCCAGCTGGATGTTGCACCTCTTCCCTCAGGACCTGAGGTGTCCTGGGCCCAGCGAGCCAGGAATAATTCCCCCTTGTGTTGCCAGTCCAGCTCTACCTGAGACACTTTCACCTGGTCAGTCCCATCCCCCTGTCCATTGTTGGATGTCACTCAGGAGCCCAACTCTTGGCTCCCTGTGCATCTCCAGGATGGACTTTCACAGCCAACCTCTCGACCCGGGGGGCAGGAGGGCCTACCCTGAGAAGGCCTAAAATGCCATCAGACAATGCCAACAGTGCCAGCTCTCATGCAAGCTGTCTGTGAGATCTGCCAGTTACCGGTGGCACCCTGGGAATGGTTTTGGTGTTGGATGATGCTCAAACCAGCCTGGTTCACCCAACTCCAAACACACCTCCTGCTTTTGGAAGTTGGATGGGACAGAGAAGCTGCTCACTGGCCTGTCCATTTGTGAGGAGCAGTCAATCCCTTCCTACTCTAGAAGTCCAGTCCCCTTTCATCCAGGCAGGTTCTTCTAACACAGCCCTTCTTGGGGTAGATGTGTGGAGATTCCTGCCTTGGGTGGGGACGCCCTCCAAGGACACTCCTCAAGGTTGAGAAAAGAAATCTCCCCACGACCATTTTTCTGGGTGAGTTCCATCAGATCTCTATGTAATAATTGTTTCTTTTTGCTGACTCTAATATAATTGTTTCAATAATTGCTTCAATATAGTGCACTATAGTACTGTACTAGTAGTGGGTTTAGCCTTTGTAATGTGTAGTAAATAATTTTGATTTAGAGCTTTTGTCTGATCATTTGTAAGAATAAAGGTTTCATTTTATAGAAGTATTCTCATTTGGTCAATCAATAAAACCTGTAGGACAAAGTGGTTCAATCTCACTTCTGTAATTCTTTAAATTTAATTTGTTGACAAAATCTGAGGCAAAGATTGGATCTGTTATTCCTTGAGGCTCCACAGTGGGACAATGGATCCTTATT